GAGCTCGCAGTTGTTCATTTTTGAACCTTTTCGGTTGACCTGACCGTTGTTTGTCGTAAACATTACAATCACCACTTTTGAATCGTCGATACCAGTTTCCACATACTGCTTCCGATGGAGCAGTAAGTTCATCATAAGTTTTCACAAGCAATCGATGAGCTTCAGCTGGACTTTTTTTTAATTCAAAACAGTGTAGAAGCACACATCGAAAAAACAATTTATCGCGTTCCATTTTGATTCGGTTATAGAAAAATACTTGTGCGAACTAAGGATGGCGTCTGATTGAATTTTAGTGGGAAATGTTTAGAGTTCAAGTAACATAAGAGACATCTATTACTGCCCATAGTGGTTCTTTACTCGATGAGTTCAGGTATTTATTTTCCCTCCAAATTTCCTGCATACGCGTCAATTTACGTCACGTATGTAGCTGCTTAACATACTCGTCTAAATGAAATATTGGGGGTATTTGTGGAGCCTAAACTATATTTCTTTCTATTTTTCTTTTCCTATATAGGTTGCGTTCCGATATTCATTGTCAGCAGTAAAAATCTATAATATACGTAAAAATCTATAATTATGTATTTTCAGTAGTGGCAGTGAATATTGGAACGTAGCCATAATCCTACATTGCTACAATGGTTGCGTTCAAAAAACAAAGCGCTCACTGGGCGTTTAGTAACTATTGATCCTTACTGTTAGATCCTTACATTCAGACCAATAACGTTGACGAATTACTCAACCGTTGTGTTTTCCGAACGCAGCCAATGGGTGCATTCAGTACTACAATCGCTCACTGAGCACTCAATGAGCTTTTACATTTGATTGGTATATTCCTTCAGATTTAAAAATATACACTAATCAGATGCAAGAGCTCACTTAGCGCTCAGTGAGCGGTTGTAGTACTGAATGCGCCCATTGGCTGCATTCAGCAGACTCAACAGTTGAACAACATTACTAGATTTTCCACTGAATCTCGCTCCTGTAAATACTTCTGGATCTATAAAGAATCTAAAAGAATGCTCCAATCACAGACAATAATCATTAAGCGCTCTCTGATCACTTTGTTCTACTGAACGCGGCCATTGGTTTCGCCCCAAAAGCGTCCTATTGTATATCTAAGTACTAGTCTATCAAAGCTTGTGACATAGTTGACGCATACGCAGGAGGTTCGAAAGGAATAAATGCCCCAACATTGGACGAGGCACTTAACCAATAAATTTTATCAGAGAGTTTATTAGTTACTTAGGTCCGGTTGTTCCAACTTCTTGAGGCCAGTTGTTCCAACTTCTTGGTAAGTTAACTGATAGTTAAATCATATGTTTATTTTTGTTTTTCCTTCAATTTAAACGAAGACAGACATACGACTTAACTATCAGTTAATTTACCAAGGAATTGGAACAATCGGCCTTTAGGCCGGTTGCATACTGGACGCGGCATGCTTGTTGCGTGGCGGATGTTGGTTAAAAAATATTGCAATAGGCCAATCATCTTCCCAAATGCCGCGTGCTCATAAAATATTTCCGGGCAAGTAAGATACTGAATGGCTACTGCAATATTTCCTAGCCAACTTCTATCGCGTGGCAAGTGTTAAGGCTGGTCCAGAATAGGTTGCAAACACTCAGTTGCCAATTGCGAAGGATGGCAACTACTAATTGCAAAGTGCTATTTCTGGTTGTAAAGTCCGTTCTACACTAATTGCAAGACACAGAACGCAAGTCGCAAGTCGTAGAAATCCACCAATCATAGTCGAATGTTAAGAGAATATTCGACTGTGATTGGTGAATTCCTATAACTTACGACTTGAGTTCTGTGTCTTGCACATATGTCTATACTATACTAGATTGCTAACTTCTCAAAAGAGCTGTGTTCCGCCCATTTTCCGGTTCGGCCATGAAGACCGCCAAGCCATGGCGGCGGTGTGTGTTTGTAGTGTGTATGTGAATACCCGATGCGTATGTAGTAGTGCGTGATAGTGCGTATGTGACACCTGATGTGTCTACTACTATTTATGTTAGTAAAACTGCAAATCTACAAACGAGATAATGCCGAATAAGTATTGTAAATTTCAAAAATACGAACAAGAAAGAATATCATTTAAAGATGTGTGTATTAATAAGGTGTTGCTAATCTAAGTGTTTGGTAAAGGTTAAAATTAAATTGAATATATACAGTTCAAAATATGTCAAAGTATTTGTATTAATATTTTTTACATACATATAAAGAATAAAATGCAACTTATGTGTTATTAAATAATATTAATTTTGTAAATTTGTGTCTGTTACTTGCAGGATTTCTATCTTTCGTTGTTTTTGTAAGTGAATACATTCTAATATTAATAATATTAATAATATTAATAATATTAACAATGTTTAATTGCAAGATAACCCTCACATATTACAAACCTCGAACATTTATTATATATAAATGTATTCTACTTACTTAAATAAGTGATATCCTTTTTTATTCGTATTATTGCAATTAACAATGCAACATGTACTTGACATTATCTCGTTTATATATTTGCAGTTTTACTAATATAAATAGCAGTAGATACGACACATCAGTGTAGACACATCAGGTATCACATACAGTACAGCACTACTACACACGCATCGGATACTCACGTACGCACTACAAACACACACTGCCGCCATGTTTTGGCGGTCTTCATGGCCGAACCGGAAAATAGGCGGGACACAGCTCTTGTACAGGTCAAAGATCGAAGTTAGCAATCTAGTATAGTATAGACATCTGTGGTGTCTTGCGACTAATGTAGAACGGGCTTAAGAGATAGTTGCGATTGTCCGATTGTCCGTCGCCAAGTTAAAAGTTGAGCAACTCTCTTTAGCCCGGTCCAGAATAGGTTGCAAACACTCAGTTGCGAGAGTTGCAAAGGATGGCAACTACTAGTTACAAAATGTTATTTTCGGTCGTAAGAGACAGTTGTGATTGCTAAAGGAGAAATATCCAATTTTTAACTTCTTGGCGACGGCAACCGGCAATCGTAAGTGTCTCTTACAACCGAAAATAGCACTTTGTAACTAGTAGTTGCCATCCTTCGCAACTCGCAACTGAGTGTTTGCAACCTATTCTGGACCGGGCTTAAAGCCGTAATCACACTAGAGATTGCCGATTGGATTGCAATTACGACTGACGATTACTTTTCAACCAATCAGGGCAAAACAGGCACGGATTGAGATTGATAATTGCCGTTTAGACAATGCTCTATTTTAATCGCCAATCGCAATCGTAATCTAATCAGCAATCGCTAATGTGATTACGGCTTAAGACGACGGAGCAGTAACTTGAACCCAGTGATCTATATACTATACTGGAACGAGAACGGCCCTCTTGAGAAAACCGGCCACTAAAAAAAGGAGATAGGTTGATTTGGTATCATCCTTATCTCTGTCTAGCGAATTTTGATTGGTCTGTGGTTTCTATGTTCTTTTCTACAAACATCAGTTCTACTAACCTTTTTGGCTCAACAGACTAGTCAATAGCTGTCAAGTGCCACAACTTATTAATCATAATATAATCAGAATTATTTTATTATCAAATGTGATATATAAAAATGTTGTGTTTTACGTAGTCGCCCAAAAAAAGTGTTTTCGTGTTTTCATTCTCGTTAATGAAAAATAGTATAAGATATGTATATTGATGCTGCATTTTAATAAATAAAATTAATTACTTAGGCAATGTTTTGTTCATTTATTGCCCTATATATATGTGTATTATTTCATATGTATAAAAAATAATAGAAAATAGACATTGTATAGAGTGTGTTAAGTATTTGCATGGCTTGATGTAGATAAAATGCTTTAGCAATCAACAAAATAAAATCATATTTTTTATAACAAAATAAAATCAATATTGTACTTAAAACTTTTATTTGGAAAATGCTACAAATTAAAATTAAAAAACACAGTAACTGTACATATATCTCATTAATTTTCTTTAAGGACAACAATAACAAGTGTCTAAGTATTAGATGAACAGAAATATAGTAATATATTTTTTATTTTCAGTATATGCTAGCAAAATTATAAACAGTTTATTCAAATTAAAATTACAGCCTAACAATTGTAACGTTTTTAAATTGCTTTTTGCACCATCACACATAATTGAACGAACAGTGATGTCTATCTCTGCTAGTTTAACTATTGCTTGCTACATAATTTCACTTTGTACAACTGAGGGCATTTTATTTGTAAAAAAAATTGCAATTGGACACTTAAATTTCACCGTAAAAGAAACAATTAATAATACCAACACTTCGGTAGCTATTTCTTCCGAATCTTCTGTAGGAATACCTCTAAAATCTACATATCCACGTATCTTATCTATTGTTTTATCATATATTATTCTTTTTCTAATCATCTCATAGAATCAAATATTAATGAAACATCTGTTAAATAATTTTTTGTATATACTTCATTTTTCAAATATATAAACACTTCACTAAGAAAACCAGGTTGGATGTTTGTATTACTTAGCCATTTGCGAAATACACTATTATACGGTAAACATAATTGCTTGCGTACAAATTCATATGCACGTGGAGAATAAAAAAATAATGTAAATGCAAATTGTTTTATTGAGGTAGAGTATCTTCTATTACATGGTGGTACTGCGCTGTTTTTTACCTCATTTTACATAACTTCAAGTGAGAAACCATTAAAATTATTTTGTAGGACTTCTATCACACCTTCAGTATCATGTTTATTGTCTTTTAGATATTTAATAAGGTGTTTCATAGATGTTATGCGTTCTTCTCGACGACATAAACGTTTCTTTAACTTTCGATTTTCTCGTTCTAATTCTAATTCCCTGTCGGATCGTCTTAAACGTTTTGGAGAAACTTGAACTTCAGCATCCACACTGCTTCTTAATTGCAACTGTACTTCACTGTCAATCATTTCCTTAAAAAATACCAAATCTTGTATATAAATACATATATACACGATATAAATAATGATTAAATACATTGCTACTTACAATTTTCTGTTCAGAACATGTACTAAAATTTATGTTTTAATTATATGTAACATTCAAATCTTTCAATATTCTATTTTTATGTTCTTCACGATCCTATAATAATTTATAAATTAGAAGAATATTTGTATTTTTTATTTTATACTTATATATTTTGTTAAAAGCTATGTAATTACCTTTTTGTGATCAAAATGTTATAATTCTTAAAAATAGTAGGAACAGCAGTTCTTTTTAACATTCTTTTCATTAATTCCATTGATGCTGGTTGAAAATTGTCATCAGTAAAATATGCACCACAAATAAATACTTCTTTTGATATATCTATTTGTGGTATATATGAAGAAATTATAGTAAGCCATTTTGTGCGTGCTTTCTCGTTACTTAGCAATCTATAATTTAAAATTATTATTATTTTGTAAATTATTATTATTTTGTGTTTATAAATATCTTATGCATATATATGTATATAAATATAGTGAAAGAATTTGGATAATTGCTCAGACATATAAATAGTTAGATGCAAAAGTGAACACAAATACTTATTAAAAGCTAATATTTGAAAAACATTGATGATAATTAACACAATCTTGAATAATACATTTTTTGCCCATTTTTATTGCCTGCTTTTCCTATTTCCAATTTTGCCACATTTAATAACCTATAATTATATGTATTATAAAACAATCAATAATCATAAAACCTATGATTTATATAATTTTATATTAAGTAAAACTCATTTGCGATTTATATATTATAATATAAATAAATATATATATATTACTATTCCATATTATTAAGATTTATAAAGCTTACCATACACGCCTATATATTATCCGATATTTACTCACATTTGTGTACTGAATACAGCGAATGTTTTCAGCTCGAAAAGTACAGTGATAGAAAAAGACGGACTGGTTACAATTTTCTATCTCTCTCGTCCCGTTTTCTTCTAGAGGGCCGTTCTCGTTCCAGTATAGTATATATTTCACTGCTTGAACCTGAACCTGAACTATGGGTAAGTGGGATGAAACCATTGCGCAGGGCAAGGGAAATGGTCATGTAGTACATTTGGTGCCGCACAGATGATTGGCTATAAAGTACTTATAAACCAATGACTGGTTATAAATCATAAATGCGCGAAATGTACAGGTAAGAAATATTATATTAACAATTGTACATGTGTGGTATATTTGGAGTAAAATATTTAATTTATAAATCAATATACATTAAAATATTAATAATGCAATGTTAGAGTAAATGATTTAAGTTAATTATCTGATTGTTTATTTATGAAGTTGCCTCTATTTTTACGTAGTTGTTTTCCCAATATTTTACAATTTGACCCACCTACGTCTCGTAACATTTCTTTTTCTTCACCCGTTATTAAGTTTTTATTCTTCAATGAGTCCAGAATTGCTTTTAAGGAAATAATTCGTGATTCCTTTCGTCGAACTTTTTGTTGCAAAACTTTTATTTTTTTTTCATACACCTCGCTTATGTCCTGCAGTTTCTTCCGCAAACGTTTCTTTTCCAGAGAGTCAAATATCTTTGGTGAAATACTTTTTGAGTGATTCACAACTACAACAGTTTAAATATGTGTCAAGGATTTTAATTGTTTAAAATCAGCATACATAGAACTAAATAAAGGTAAATATTCCTTACAATAACCACATCCAGGGATAAGAGATGTCGTTCTATCTCTTCTAGTAGTGTTCACAACATACTGAATTTGACGCAATACTTGTATCTTTTTTATCGTTATTTGTATTCTGTGGAACTACATCAGCAACTACATTAATAGTCATATTATCATCTACATCAGCATTCACAGGTTCTATAAGTAAACAAAACAAGACATATATAATAATATATATATACACATATATATATATGTATATTAATATAATAATATAATAGTAAGTAAACAAAACAAAATATAGGTAACAAAAATCTAACTGCAAAATCTTGCCAGCTGTATATAATATTAGATCTATGCATAAATTTTGTAAATTAGGTTTAGATGGCACTAGAAAACGGTGTATTGATATTTTTGAATTAATTATTTTTATGTTCATATTGTTGACCAACCTACATTCAACTAAATATGACAGATCGTAGCTGTTGACATAACCTCATTTTTAGTTTGTTTAACCCTCTAAAGACTCATCTACATTAGCTGTAAAGGCTCGTCTACATTAGCTGTAAGAATAAAGGCTCGTCTACATTAGCTGTAAGAGTAAAGGCTCGTCTACATTAGCTGTAAGAGTAAAGGCTCGTCTACATTAGCTGTAAGAGTAAGGTTGCAAGACACGAAATGAAATATTTTCATTCGCTGACAACTTACGTTACAGCCTAAAGCTAAGACTCCATGCATGCGGTGAGCTCCGGCAAACGGCTGCGGTGACCAATCAGGAGGGAGGCGCAAGTCCGGTTGCGGCAAGCTCCGGCATGCGTCTGTCTCCTGATTGGTCACCGCAGCCGTTTGCCGGAGCTCACCGCATGCATGGAGTCTTAGCTTTATAGCCTTACTCTTACAGCTATTGTAGACGAGCCTTAAGAGTAAGGCTGTAAGGTTGTAACGTAAGCTGTCAGCGAATGAAAATGTTTCATTTCGTGTCTTGCAACTTACAGCCTTACTCTTACAGCTAATGTAGACGAGCCTTAAGGCCCGGTTCCACAACTTAAGGCTCGTCTACATTAGCTGTAAGAGTAAGGCTGTAAGGCTGTAACGTAAGCTGTCAGCGAATGAAAATATTTTATTTCGTGCCTTGCAACCTTACAGCCTTACTCTTACAACTAATGTAGACGAGCCTTTACTGTAAACGAAGTTTTAAGCTAAAGCTAAGACTCCATGCATGCGGTGAGCTGCGGCAAACGGTTGCGGTGACCAATCAGGAGACAGACGCATGCCGGAGCTTGCCGCAACCGGACTTGCGCCTCCCTCCTGATTGGTCACCGCAACCGTTTGCCGCAGTTCACCGCATGCATGGAGTCTTAAGCTAAGACTCCATGCATGCGGTGAGCTGCGGCAAATGCTGCGGTGACCAATCAGGAGGGAGGCGCAAGTCCGGTTGCGGCAAGCTCCGGCATGCGTCTGTCTCCTGATTGGTCACCGCAACCGTTTGCCGCAGTTCACCGCATGCATGGTGTCTTAGCTTAACTCGTTAACCCTAGTTTAGACGAAAAATTGCATTCCACAACTGCCTTAAACCATGGTTAACGTTGATTTCTCACAGTTAAAGTTAAACCCAAAACTTTGGGCGTTTAATGAATTTAAACGAAGTTTAACACTGCAGTACCATCAATTTGAGGAAAAAATGTATGACTATCCCGGTTTTGGAGTTCAGTTGACAAATATTTTGAACGTTTGAACACCAAAGAGATATGGCTTTAGAATACATATTATCTTCATCTAAAGATGAAGATTTTGAAAACCTAATTTATCAACGGACAAGAAATATAAGAATAAGACGACCATCATATTTGGAAGAATTTGATAATGTCAATTTTCATGCACGATTTAGATTATCAAAAGAATCTGTTATTGCAGTTCTAGCTGAAATCGAGCATGAAATTTCTCATAAAACAGAACAGTAAGTATATAAATTTAATTTAAAATATTCGGTTTTTTGCTTCGATAGATTATATTCTAAAACAGAGTATAAAACTATATATAAAAGTCAATTATTATATGATAAATGCAATCAAATCAATAATATAAACCAATTGATTATTATTAACACTGGACTTCCACCTTTTAATAAATTAATACTTATATACAAATACAGCAAATGTTAATGTTGGTTAGTGTTTACTTCATACGAAACAGATATATTGTTCTCTACTAGATGTCATAGCATCCAACTTATTTCAATTTTCCCTCTTTTCACTATTAGCAACAACCAATCATACTCTACGTTTGAAAAGAAAGAGAAGTCTTTGACAGTTTCTTCATACAGACTATAGGTTTAAGTAAACTACGGTTAAAAACATGATGTGGAACGCGATATAAGTTTAACCATGCCGTTAAGTATAACGTCAGTTCAGATAATCACGGTTTAAACTTGATTTTGTGGAACTGGGCCTTAGTAAGCAACTTTTTCTACTGAAGGCGGCCTATGACTTGCAACCTGGCCGGCGAATTGCTACGCTCTGTTCGGTTAGATTTTCAACATCCAACTGTAATCCCAACACAACCTGTAGTGGGATACGAGCTTTAGGATCACTGGAGTCGCATATCTACATTTTTGTGCATCGTGATCGTATTATTTTGTTTATAACGTGTTGTAAGTTATTGTTCGAAAGAGTTATCGAATAAAATTATTTTTTTTATTTTGTTAATTATTGTGTATAACTAATTTATTCTTGAATCTTGATCTTTTATTCTAACTTTCTTCATAATTATCAGATATTAAACACGTGGTAAAGAATCTAACCTAAGAAGAAGATGGGACGTCACAAAAAGGTATTTTATTATTTATTTTGAATAAAATACATATAAATAATTTAATAAAAGTGTTAAGAATATTTACCTAATGTTAATAAAAGAATCATTAAACATTTACGTGCAGTTTATTCGCGTGTACAATATCGATGTATTTATAAGTAAATTGTCAGCTTATCACAGAATTTTAAAAATTTCACATGACAGTATGACTATTTTCTCTCTCTCAGGGCCGATGTGTCAAGCGAAATAAGCATATAAACTTGGAAGAAAAGGAGGAATTAAAACAAGCACCACATTCTTTTGTATTTCATCGTGGTTTGCCAGGAGAACATATTGTTGAACTTACTAAAGATTTTCGCAGAGTTATGGATCCTTTTACAGCTTCATCCTTGAAAGCTCGCAAGAAAAACACCATAAAAGATTTTGTTTCTGTCGCAAGTGTACTTCATGTTAGCCATATGTGTATATTTACAAAAACAGAATTGGGAATGTATCTCAAGCTTTCTAGGTATAATATTTTTTAGGAAAATATATCAAAAGATTTATTCATTTTAGTCACATCAGATTGCATTGAAACTTTGTTTCTTTTTTTTCTTCAGAAAGACATCTAAGAATTCTTTAGTTCTACCTATGAAATAATGACTCTTAATTATTATGACAGACTGCCCAGAGGACCAACTCTTACTTTCAAAATACATAACTTCTCTTTGGCAAGAGATGTGGTATCCATGTTGAAGAAGCAATTGGTGTATGAAGAAGCTTTCAAAACTTTCCCTTTAGTTGTTTTAAATAATTTCAGTGGGGAAGGTATGCATTTGAAGCTTATAGCTACTACATTCCAGAATATGTTCCCAACTATAAATCTGACTACTGTAAGTTCTACAAATTATAATCAGTTTATCAATAAACATATAATTTTGATAAATTGATAACATTGCAGGTTAATCTAAGCACAATTCGCCGTTGCGTGTGCTTAAATTATAACACTATATCAAAAACCATTGACTTCAGGCATTATGTTATTAAGGTTGTGCCTGTGGGTTTATCAAGGGGTGTTAAAAAATTAGTGCAAGCAAAAATACCAGATTTGTCTAGATGTCAAGACATTTCGGATTTCTTGACAAAATCAACTATGTCTGAAAGTGAGGCAGAGGACGATGAGGTCAGTCACGTTAAATTATCACAAGACTTGTCTTCAAGGGGGAATCATGCTAACTCTACAAGTGCGATTAAATTATTCGAACTGGGACCGAAAATAACGTTACAGGTTGGTGAATTAATCGAAATTGATATTTTGAAAGATTTACATGGACATCTATATGATGTCCATGATATATGTATAATATTATGTTTTTCAGTTAATAAAAATAGAAAATGGTCTTCTTGATGGTGAAATACTTTTCCATGAACTTATACACAAAACGGACGAGGAGAAACTTGCGATAAAGAAGAGGAGAGAGAAGAAAAGGAAATTGAAAGAAAAAAGAAAAAAGATTCAAGAAGACAACAAGAAAAAGAAAGAAGAGCAAAAGCAGGAACACAAGGAAAAATCGCTCAAAGGTATCCAAAAGAAAAGAGAAAGCGAGATGCTCTTAGAAAAAATCGCAAAAGAATCTACCGAAAATAACGAAGTGGAGGATGACGATGCGCAACATTATCGTGACGAAGTTGGCGAGGAACCTGATGAAGGTGACTAAAACGTGGACATTTGTTAATTCTAAATATACTTATCACTGTTATTTTCTACGTTCAAATAGATTTGAGTCCACTTGATTTTTATGTAACATTTTTTTTTTTATTTCAGATCTGTTCAAAACAAAAGTCGGTACGAAGAGAATACGTAAGCATGCAATGAGATACAAACCGAAGAAATTGAAAATCGACAAATCTTAGAATATATAATTGTAAAAATAGTATATTTCCGAAATAAAATGTTACATTTGAATATCCAAAACTGTTTATAAAATTATTTTAGCAAAATGTTTCAAATATATAAGCGAGAGTATTAATGATGTTTCACACAAGAAATTAATCGTTCACATAAAAAAAAAAAAATCAGTCTGAGAAGCATGACGCGGCTATTACTAATGTTCTAACTTATATAACTTGCGCAAAAAGCGTTTTGCACAAAATTCTTTTGTTACATTAATTACAATTATTTCCATTTTTTTTTCAATTATGTTGGTATGTATAAAGTAATTAGCAAAATTTAAAAATAAAATTATATTTGCATATATATTTTTTTTTCTATATTGAGGCGTTAGCTATAAAGTAAACTATCCCTATATTATGTTTTCCTCGAGTAAAGCATTTTGCTAAAATCACTTATTTCATTATTATCACGTATATCATTATTATATATTTAATTGTTTATAACTTGGAATGACAATACATTTTATCATGTTTTTCTTGTTTACGAACTTTTTTTACAATTCAGACGATTTTATCTCTCATACTCTTCATTATGTTATACAAACTGACATAAGTTCAGTACATGGGTAAATATGCAGTTCTGCATCAGTAGACTATAGCATTATTCTCAAATTATTCAGGTATAAAAAATAGTACAGAGATATTCTTCATATCAAATATGCGCGAGTAGGCACATCTAGTAGTAGTCAAATGGCTATAAAATTGAAGTTCGTAACTACTGATTTGTCGAGAATTCAGTCGTAATACCTTCCATATATACAATCCTATATCCCGACAAAAGTTAAAAATCTAATTACTTTATATCACAGATCTTCTATTGTCTTCGAAAAGTGTAAAACTGGCGAAAAATATATTGTTATTATATGAAAAATTGGTGTATACAAAATAGTTGAATTCATACAATATCATATTACAAAAATATATAAAACTACGTTGTCCTCATCTCGTGTAACTTCTTGATTATATTTACATTGTACGTTACACTCTCTTGCTTACTCATATTAAATCTAATTTTTATCAAATCGCGCGTGATAAAGCAGTATATCGGGTTTACGTAATACTAAAATATAAAATTTGGTCGATGATATGCGCTGATACCAAAAGAAGAAACGGTCTCGCAGGTCGGTTATTTGGATTGCCACAACGTTTCGTATTCCTCTAATCGTTTCTGAAGCTCTTTTATGGTTTTCGATCGAGAACGACATACATCCTTCATAATTTTCTTCTCCTTCTCCAATTTCACTATTCTTAATTCCTCCTGTACAAGATGATATACACGAAACATTTAGAAATATATAATGAAGACTATATAATAGAAACATAAAAATACTGCAACAACCGACAAAAAACAGAGGAAACACCACGCTTGCGTTTCCGTCTTTACATATGCCTCTTTCCTTTATTCATACAGTTCCATTGGTTATTAGATGATACTTACGTCGATAATGCCGCTACTCGTGCTGCAGAATCGCACTACATTGTCCGCAATTGTCTGACACGCCTGATTTCTCCTATTTACAAGCCTCTCCTTACACGCGTCACATTCCTTCGCACTGGTGCGCAGCATCGCTAGCTGGAGCCGTTTGACCTCCGCTTTCAGCTCGCTGTTCTGTAAAAATAGAACACATTCGCGTTAGTAAATAGATGCCGAAATCGAGCGTTCTCGTGGGGAACAGCGTGGAAACTCAATGAAAAATACCTTGTTACTATAGATCGATAAGTGTTCCTGTAACTCTTTGCACTTAGTTTGATACGGGAAACTGCCGCTGCGTATCTGCAGCTCCAATGTCGCGATTTTCCCATTCTTCCATACTACGTCTGACTGTAGTTCGCATATCTTGTCCTTCAACATGGCACAGCTGCACATATCGTCGTGGCACTTCTCAGTTTTGTCGGTGAGCATCGGATTGGTATTCTGCGCGGTTTGCGATAAAAGGAGATTCTGATTTTTCTTCTCGAGTATCTCGATCTTTTCTTTCAGCGTATCTACTTCGAGACAGCACGAGTAGTATCGATCTTCCACTCTTGCATGCTCCGCGTCATTCTGACGGATCACCTCCGCCAAGTCCTCCGACTCCTGGTCGAGTTCCATGTTCCTTTTTGTTAACTCCTTTATCTTGCTCGCTTGTTTTTCGATATCTCGGTCTCGTTGGTTCAACTGCACCTTCATCGCCTCCAATTCCAAGGCGACTTGATTCTTCTCCCGCAACAAAGTATCGTACTTCTCACTGGACGCGTTCGCATCGTTGTACTTGGACTTATAGGACGACAGCGTGTCTTTCAGCTTTTCGTTTTCCTTACACATTGACTCATATTGGCTATTTAGCACGACCAGTTGTTTCATGAGATCAGTCTTGGCCGTCTGCAGCTCCGTTATACGATTGCTGGCGCCATCAAGGTTGTTTCGCAGCGATCTGTTCAAATCTTTTAGTTCTTCCATTTGTTCCTCCGCCTGGATCTTACTAGTACTGTTGCGAACTCTCTTTTCCAACATGATGCACTTGGATCGTAAGGTCTCATGATCGCTGTTCAAGTTCTTCAGCTCCTCCGTCAAGATAGCGTTCTTGCTACTCAATTCGGCTATTTGTTTATTCAGCTCAGCGTTCTTCAGCTCCGCCAAGTTCAGCTTGTCCTTGATCACGTCGACCGCTTTCTCGTTAGCCAACTTCAGAGCCTCCATCTCGGTTTTGTATTGATCCACATTGGCTTTTCGTTCGCTGATCTGTTGCTTGAGGAACTTATTCTCGTGCATGAGCGTCTCGATATTGTTTTTATACTCTGTCAGCTCGTCGCACTTGGTCTTCAGGAGATTCATGATTTCCGCGACACGCGACTTTGTCGCCTCCAACTCCTGATTCAAATCGTTGTAGGCGTCCGTCAGCTGCTCCGATTCTGACTGCATCTTCTGAATAATCTGATTGCTCTTTATGAGCTCGTTGGTCTTCAGGTCAATGATATTCTTCAGTTGCGTTTGATTAGCCGTGAGACCCTCGATGCTGCCTGTCAACTCTAGATTTTTCGTCTTGAACGACTCTATTGTGCAGGCGAGATCTTCCACGCGTCTGTTGTATGCCTCCTTTTCTGATTTCAACTTCATCTCGAACTCGGCTTCTTTATTCTTGACCGTTTCTTGCGCCTGTTTCTCTCGCTTCTGCGCATTGATGATAGCCTCCTCCTTCATAGTGCCATTCTTTGAATACTTGTCGAACTCGACCTGCAGGTTGCTGAGGTCCGTCTCGAGCAGGCTGATCTTCTCTTTCAATGCGTTCCTATCCTGACCGTTTTCATCCAGAAGCTGTTGCAGTCGCGCGACCTCCTTCTGCAGTCCGTCAGATATGCTCTCTCGCTTAGATAGGTCACCCTGGAGCTTCTCTATCTCGCTTTCCAGTTCCTTCGCCCACAGCGTGGTGCGTTTCTCCGCGTCCACGCTCTGCTGTTTCTGATCTTCGAGCTTGTGCTTCTCCTTGTCAAAATGTTGCTGCATGCTCTTCACGATCTCCTTCTCCTTCGTCAGAATTGTCTGCAAGAACATCTGAAACAACTCGTTTACCGACTTATCCGAGAATTCGTAGGTCTCGACTTTCGGTTTCAGCGACTGAATTTCTTTGATGATATTCTGAGAGGTAGTGTTCAATACCTCCTTAAGCTTCTTGTTGTCCTCGGTTAGTTCCTTATCTTGCTGAAACTTGGATTGGTATTCGCTTTTTATCTTTTCAAGTTTATCTTCGATGTCGCGCAGCCTGATCAATTCCTGCTTCAGATACTCGTTCTCGGAAGTGCACTTGCTTATTTTCTCCGTCAGTTCCAGCAGTCTGCTTTCCGATTCTTTGGAGTAACTGTCGAATTCTTGCGCAGCAATTGTCTTGGAATTGGCTAACTCCTCGTTTGTCGTCATGAGCAACTTTAGCTTTTTTTCATATTCTTGCTCCAAGAAGTTGTTGCTACTGACTATTTCTTCTTTCTGTTCCTTTACCAGATCCAGTTCATGCTGCAGACAAGAAAGATTCTGACGTAATTCGTCTATCGTCTGTTCTTTCATTACTTTATTTTCTTGAAGCATCTCTACCTCAACTTCGAGAACTAGTTTTGCATTCTCGATCTCGGTACACCTCGTGGTACGTTCTTGCAGCCGATTAGTCATATCAGTCATCTCATTTTCGAGGATATTCGCCTTTTCCGACGTGGTAGTAAGTGATAATTCGTTTTCCGATAGCTTCTGCAGCAACTGTTCGTTGGCGATTCTCAACGAATTAATTTCGTCCAGCAGAGATTCTTTCTCGCTGGCGAATTTACCGAGATCCATCTTGACGCTCAGGTTATTCCTCTTTAAATCTTGCAACTCGTTCTGCAAACTGCTCATAACTTTCTCGATATTGTCCAATCTCAATGTGGTTTTGCTTGGAAGCTTCTTCACGTTGGAACTCTCGTCGTCAGTAAACGCAGAGTCCGTGATGCTACTGATATGAAGTTCCTCGACTTCGTCGCACTTCTCCTTACACAGATCCGAGAGTTTATTGTCGTCTTCCTTCAGAGATTGTATGTCGTTGCTTATGCATTCTAGCTGCTCTTCAAAGTAGGTGACGTTCATAGTTTCTGAGAAACTGGCGTTGATAGATGAATTGCAAAGACTGCTGTTAATATCCTCCTTTGCCTTCATGATGAGCGCGTCTGTTCTCGCGGATTTGCGGTCGAACTTCTTCTGCAGATCCATCAGTTTGTGACTGAGGGATTTTACCTCGAGTTTTAGCATTCTTCGATTCTCAATCAGCTCTTTCAAGTGTGTGCACTGAGTGCAGGTGCTCAACTTGAGATCACTAAGCTTCCTGTTAAGATGCGTGAGTTGGCTGACTTCCTCTTGCAGATTCAAGATTCTCGTCTCGGTGTTTTTGCCGTCTGACACGGACTTGTTCATCGTATCGTTCGTCGTTGTAGTATTAAATATCGTCGACAGATGCAGACTATTGTTGTGCGAATTAGCTATCCGCGCGTTATCCAAGTCCTCTATTGTTTCTACCAGTTGAGTGGACATCTTCGTATTTTCTTCCGTTAACGTTTTCACGTTGGCTTTCAGTTCCATCAGCTCGGTCTTCAGCAATGTGTTCTCAGTCTTCAATTGATCCATATCGTTGTCGCTCACGTCTTCCTTATTCTTCAGAGACAACTCCAGTTTATTTTTTAAGATATCGTACTCTTGCCTGAGACTGTCGTTTTCTTCGATCTTATCCATCAGATCAGTCGAGAGCTCGTTGTTCTCGTTCATCAAATATTCGTGCTTCTGCATAAGATCCATCAGCTTATCCTTATACATACAATCATGTTCGTACAGGAGAGATTTACTCTCCTTCAACGTCTCAAGTTCTTTTATCCTGTCTGCGACGTTGCATAGCAGTTCTGTGTTCTTGGCGGTCAACGCGTCAATCTGCTCCTTGTACTTGAGCATCTTCTGTTCTTCATCCAAGTTGATCTCCGGTATCTTCGAACGAAGTGTCTGTATCTGCTCGTTGAGCGTCACCACGTTGTTCTCTAGTTCGATTTTCTCGTCCGTGATCTTCGAGTTCCGCACGTATAGCTCGTCGATCGTTTTTTGTAAATGTGCGGTGGACTTGTCGGCACACGCCTTCTCTGCTGACAGTTTGTTCGCCAACTCAGTGTTCTCGGTGGTCAACAGCAAGATTGTTTTCTGTAGATTTTCGATATCTTCCTTCAAGCTTCGCACGTCGTGCTTAATTTCGTCCAATTCCTGCGTCTTCGTGACGAGGTCGGCGGACAACTTGGCGCTGTCCTCCTCGACAGACATTCTCGTGCTCGACAAGTCGATCTTAGACAAGTCGCTGGTGTACAAGTCATCTTCGTGCTCTGACATCATCGATCTTGACGACATATGCTCCTTCAGATGTGCGTTCTCGTTCTGGATATCCTGGACGATGATCTGCAGGTCTCTTACACGGCTTCTCAGGCGAGCAACCTCATCAACCTCGTCTTTTTCACCGACCGCTGACTTCTCCTCCTTCTCTGAGAAGCTCTTTAACGATTGTTCATGCAGCTCTGCAGGTATCTGTTCCTGCTTGTCTTTCTCAGACGTCAATTTCGCGACTTGTGCCTCTAGTTCCTGAATTCTTTGCAAGTACGATTGTTCCCTGTTCAAGTCATGTCGAACGGAGCTGCGATGTTCAACCTCAGCCAGCTCAACTCGCGACTCACGTATCGTGAATTCCGACACGTTGTCTACATGATCTTTCGTTGAACCGCTGCATGATTTAGCTTCTTCTTGTTCGATACTGTCGATACTAATCGGCGCTTCGCTTAGCTTCTCTTCGCTCAAACTATCATATGGTTCCTTTTCTTTTAATTCTATTTGCGTCTTGGCAACAGTGTGCTCGGATCCGCTATTTTCCAACGTAAGAGTATCGGTTGAAGATACGTACAATAGATCATCGAGTTCTGATGTGGTCGTCGTATGTTCATTTAACCTCTTCTGCAATATATTGTTCGTCAGCTCCGTCTCTTCCAATTTGTCCTTAAATTCCGTGACCGTACCGTCGAGTTCTTTCTTCTCAGTCACCAAGTCCTCTATCTGCTTTTCTAAACCATAAATCTGTTGTTGTTCGTCCAGTTTGCTCTTCAGAAAGTCATTCGCCAGTTCCGTTTCTTTCGATTTGTTCTTCAATTCATCGTTAATCTGTTCGCATTCCATCTTTTCCGCTGTGATGTCCTGAATCTGTTTCTCCAGCTGCACAAATCTCTGCGCGCAATGCTGATGCTCATCTATTTCACCCTTCATTGAGGTAGTCGTTATTTCCATTTCATCCAATTTGCCCCGAAGCTCACCGACGATGAGTTTGACCTCTTTCCTCTCAGATATGAGTTGTTGAGTTCGTTCTTCCTGATATTGCAACTTTTCCATCTCCTGTTCGTACAATTTACATGTTAGTGATTCATTACTTTGTTCCATATCTCTCAATGTATCCTGCAGTTTCTGAACGATATTCTCCAGTTCACTCTTCCCAGACGCGAGATTATTAAATCGTTCCTCCATATCCCGAACATTTTGATAGTGTATTGATTGCTGTTCCTTCAATTGATTGTTCAACGAGTTGTTACATGCCTCAGCTTCGGCCAGCTTACTTTGAAGAGCAGATACTTTACGTTGCAATTCGTCCTTTTCGGACATCAGAGTTTTTACTTCTGTTTGCTCTACAGACTCGTTTCCAATCGAAAACCGTATGAGTGGTTCTTCCTCCGCAATCTGCGCTGCTAATTTATCGTCCAACAGAATGTTGCGTTGCTCGGCTTCATTGAGCTTCTTTCGTAATTCAGCCGCGACATGTTCGTATCCGTCCTTTTCAGCTGCGAGAATTTTTATCCGTTCCTGTAGCTCGGGAATGTGTTGTGCCTCGATTTCCTGCGCGGACAATTGCGCGAGTCTTTCCTGTAACTCGGGTATCTTCTGCAACTCCATCATTTGTATGTTCAGTTTATCCTCCGCGGAGGCGCAACGTAGCTCAGCTGTTGTCAATTTTTTACGAAGCTCGGACGCTATATGTTCGAAAGCATCTCTATCGGACACTAAGTTTTCCACCTGCTTTTCCAACGCAGCTAACTTGATGAGGGTCTCTTCCAGTTTGAGATTATGATCCTCGCAATACATTTGTTTCTCCAAAATCGTAAATTCCCGAAGCTCCTTTATTTCTTTCTTCAACTCGTGCATCTTTTCTCGCAACTTCTCCTTTGGTGTGCCAGGAGATCTGCTGCTTATAAATAATGACAAGCGATAAGATTAATCGTAAAAAAGATCGACAATAAAATATCCATCTTTCTGTTACTTACCCTGAGTGAGTCTGAGTGCATGTGTCAGTCTTCTCAGGAGTTACGGTAGAATTGTCACGACTGTAGGGCGATTTGTGGACGATTATGTCATCTTTAAATTTTACGCGGTTGTTCCTGCGATACGTTACAAATGTATCATCGTCACTTATCTCCTCGTCACGATCCGCCTCGCTTTTCATAAGTTCCAACTCAAAATCTGCATAAGCTATTTGGAAAGCTATAACAGTCGTGTAGAAAAGTTTTAACACACATAGTTGGACCTATCAAAATATCCAAATTGTTTCAAATAAAAATTAATTAAACTTACATGAATCCATAATACCAGACGATTCGATTGAGCTACTCTTATTACGCAGAGGTGACATTTCTTTGATCGGCGACAAGTTTGCAGACGTTTGAAACGTAGATGTATTCAGCTTGTGTGCACCAGCTTGTGTGTTACCGCACCATGTCCTTCTTCGTTTCGCTTTAGCTTTAAACGACTCTTGAACGTTGTGTTGTGTTGAACGATTATCACCAGCGACTATTCGCGTCTGTAATAATCTGATTCGCTCTTCCAATTCTTCATTGATACGATCTTTTTCCTGCATCTTAGATTCCATCTCTTGCACTTCAACACACCAATTTTGTTGTTTTACCCTCTGAAAAGGTAAATTTATCACATATATTAACTGAATAAGCAGCAATAAATGAAGCCAATGCCTGGACAAGGAAACGGTGCATAAAACTAAATGAAAGTAAATCCGTCCATATTAATTATATTAATAGAAATATAGATTATTTGCCAATCAATCTAAATGGAGTCCCTATACCGCATGCTAATGTAGTGAAATACCTGGGGATGAATCTGGATACTAAACTTAGATGGAAAGAACATATAGATAAAAAGAAATATGAAGAAGAACCAAATTTAGAAAAATATATTGGCTATTGGGCAGAAATTCGCAATTGACGATACCAAATAAATTGTTATTATATAAACAGATATTGAAGCCTGTATGAATCTATGGTATACAGTTTTAGGACTGGACCAAACTGTCAAACATAATGTGCATTCAGAGGTTTCAAAACGAAGTGCTTAGGTGCATTGTTAATGCTCCATGGTACGTTCGTAATGAAGATCTGCATAAGGATCTCAGAGTTGAAACAATCAGTAAAGAGATAAAAATTTACAGGGAAACATAAGGAAAGATTGCTTAGGCATGCAAACACTCAGGTAATTAAATTGCTTGATCAGAGTAACATTGTTAGGAAGCTTAAGAGAGTGAAGCCTTTTGAATAAATATAAAAATTCATTATTTTAGTAATTAGCTATAATAATGATACATGCGAACAATTAATCTAGAATATCTCGATGGAAATATCTCTAGTTAGCTAATGGTAGCAATATGGGTTAAGGATGAAATGTTGTTAGTCGATGACTATGTACATTGTTTACATATGAGAAAAAAGAAAAAAATTAACTGAACAGACTTTGCAGTTCTATAATGATAGGAATAAATTATATTTACAGCTAACTAAAAAAGAAAAAGATGAGCGGACTCATATTACTCTTTTCATGATTTTTTCCTAAAAAATTTCCACATATTTACAACACTTTGTTATGCTTACTTCCAATTCCATCTGCAATTTATCTATTTGTTTTGCATATCGTTTCAAGAGAACACCGTCGGACATAACTTCGTTAAGTTCAGGCTTGTTCTTTATGCTTCTGGCTCTGGATGCAAACCTGTTTGTTAACCAACAAACTTATATATCTGATAGACGTTATAATATATATACAATATATAAATTATTTCTGAGACAAAATACTAACGACAATGTGCATTGAGTCTCGTCTAGTGCGGCAGGTGTTACCGCGCAAATGATTGCTGTCATTGCATTGCCACCTAAAGATGTCTGAAGCAACCTTGTCAATTTGCTATCTCGAAAGTTAATATATTTCTGCGAATCTTGTGATTCGCTCAATTGCTTAATAACTAATGCTAATGTGGAAAGGGATAAATTAATATGGCGTCCTTCTTTAAAACGCTCCCCAGTAGCACCAGTTTGTCGTGCTCTTTCCGAACCTGCAAGGTCCACCATATTCAATTGCGATACTTGTATTGCACCATCCGAACCAGCATCAGCTTCTCGACTCTCAATTGTCTACAATAAACAATTTCGTCATGTTTAAGATTTACGACATGTGTAAACCGTTTTACCAAACATTTCATATATAACATTTCATATATAAGGTTAAAAAAAGAAATTAATAAAGAGAGCATTCTTACAATTCTAAATATTGTATGACTCCTGCTACTTCGTTCATTCATATTTGTTTCTCCTATTCTTCTATTTTTATTACCCTTACTCATTAATGAAAATATATTTTCTGGGCTATTCGTAACCTCTTCCTTGCATCTTACGAACACTTGACCATTTATATCTTCATGTATTTTTAAATCTATCTGTTTACTCAACAGATCATTAATTTTTTCATTATAAATTTCTAAATAAGACACCCTAAAAGATCAACAGATTGTTAAATTGTTAAGCTAACAAAGAATTTGTATCATTGTTATTGCATGGATAAATTCTTTTCAAAAAGAAAGAAAATAGAAAGCTGTGAAAAGCTATCTTATGATTATGAGAAATATACCAACCTTAATAGAAACTCGCGTCTTGGAGTATTAGCTATAGCATCAAACATTCGTTTGATAGCCAATGGTATTATTCCATTTTCTTCTTCTGTACCCATCATAGTATATGTTTTGCCAGAACTGGTTTGTCCATAAGCAAAAACTGTACCATTAAATCCACTCACAGCAGCATCAACAATAGGACTAACAATGCTGCAGAACACATCGTTGTTGCTAGCATCCATATCAAAAATATGATCTGCAAATGAAATAAACATATTAATACAGATAACATGTCACCAATGTGCAAAAGATGATGTATAGTAAATATTTATTCAGGAGAATTATAACCTCCAACATTGTATATAATATGAATCAAGCAAAAGTGCTGTAAATAACGGATGTTTTCATAGTATTATATTGTCAAATAAAATGCTAGAACAATATGCACTTAAGAATTAAAAGAAAAAATATGAAATAATAATTGAAAACATGCAGCTCAGAGGAATAAATTTAATTTCACTGGAACTGTAGTTATTCTTGAGAGAGACATTCCGAACATGAAATCGTAGATGTTGTCAAGTATAATATTGAAATTCACATTCGCATCTTACCGAATTGGAATCCTCCATCGCCTCGTTTCTTTATCTCCGTGTCAACGGCCACGATAGCGTTTCCTTGACTAACCCATTGTATCGGCAAATTTTCGTCTTTCTCTCGCTTGATAAGAGGCCTAACTTTGATAGCTACCTTAATACTATCAGACATCGCGAATGAATTTTGTACTTCGCCGGTTCGTTCAATTTAATCGAAGCTAAAACAAACCCTACTGTCGCACTTAAACGACACACAAACCATCATGTCCGCAACAGTCGGCGCTGGACTGACGCTCGTTGCATGTTCAAATTCAAATCACGTGTCGCTGCGCGTGCGTCGAGATTGTCGCTGATCAGATCTACCTTCAGATTGTAAGATAATTAATCGTAATAACCATAACTTTTTGTTTAACTCCTATTTCTGATAAGGAATAAAATTGATTGTCTGAATAGCTCTCGTTCAACCATTCTTTCGCCGACCTAATAAATGTCTTTTCAAATTCATTCGTAAGGTCAATAAAGGTCAATAAAAAAAATCCTCATATCAATATTTACCACGATCACATATGTATATTATTTAACCATTACAAAACATAAAACACGCTCGTATTTTCAATAAACGATTATACAGAAAGATCCGACGTTTAATTTGCTCGACAAATTATCTGACAATCTTATACAATGTTTTATCTCTAGCGATCCACGCTCGACCGCTGCAATAAGATTTTCTCTCGCCCAGCCTGACTTTACCTTTCGCTCGCCTTTTATCGCTTTCGTTCTCGATTCTCTGAATCCCAATTTTTTCTTCTAAAGCTCGACAAAAATCTTCTTAACTATCTTCTTTCTGTCTCTCTGTCTCGACTTTTTCTCTATTCGACTATTTATTCGTTTTTCTGTCTCAACCCTTTCGGTTTTTACACAGGTTTCTCGCTTCGCTTGCCGCCCCTGGCAAATCTCGACATGTGGGAGTGCCGTAAGCACAGGCAGTGGTGCCCGCTGTCAGCCAATCTCACAGAATTGCACTGAGAGAAAATTGATTCAAACTGATCAAAGTTTTTTGCAATTGGACGGTTCAACGCCGAAAGAGCGCGACTTCGCAAAAATATGAAAGATATCTCCTATCAGTTAAAATCTTAGGATGAAGTTAAGATAAAGTCAGAATGTTTCATTTTTTATCAATCCATTTTCCACGAATCATCTTTGAATGTTATTTGACGTGAAGTTCGCCGCAAATGTATCGCTTATTTGTTTATTGTTTTTATTTTATATCAGTTATGATAAAAATGGATTACGGATGTCATTGGATGGTTCGATTGAAGACAAGCTATGTATATGAAAAAAAAAAATGGTGAGAAAAAGAAGTCACTTTGCAGAAGAAATACACAATACGAGCGCGCAGAAATAACGGTGAGTGATATTTAATTTCATACGTTGTTTCGCATAACTCAATAGGACAGGGATGGTATTTTTTTTTTTAACAATGGTATCTTTCCGAGATTTGCAATGCATATATTATATATATGTATATATTTCTACAAATGTGTGAACATTAATAAAACATACGATTTAACGATATGATATTACAATATACACAACGTAATTTTCTTATATAATTTCAAATTTAAAAGCTCCATTTTGCTTTATAAATTTCAATAGTTTAATTTTTGAACGTCATTAAAATACATGTATAAAGTCAATGTATTGCTGAAACGATGCTCGACTCATGAGCTGCATATGATAGATGACTGATTGAAAATACAGTTTTTTCTCCAAGAAAACCTAATAAGATATTCTTTCAGTCACAAAGATACAAATAGACCAACTAAAAAAAGTTTTCAGCGATTAGTTTCTAACATTCAGATTTTACGATCGATAAACCTCGTATTGCAGATGTACGAATAAACGATATTTCTTTTATTACTCTCAACCATCTTCTTGTATCATAAGCTGGACAGCTCAACCGAGGCAGGCTACATATAGTGCATAGGACTGGATGTCTATATTCTTAATAATAAAGAACAGACACAGTCCACCCTTTGTCATCTATGTCTGTACTTTTAATGCTCACCAGCAGTTTTTAATGTTCTGTTAGCAGCATACCGTTCTCTACACTTTACATAAAATGGCTCAACAATGGCTCTGTGTCTACCAGTTAATCGGAAGCATATCTCTACAATGCTCTTGTTTGCTGATTTTCTTTGGTCTCGGGACGAGACTAAACATAGCATTTTTTTTCGTTTTCTTTTCTGTTGCCGCCTACATTATAAGCATACTTCTCGTTACACAAATCACAAGCATACAAGCCTTACTCTTTTAATACATCTCTTCTTTTTTCTCTTAATTGTCTTCCAGACAAAATGAGATATGATATTGTTCAACATATTTCTCTCTTCTTAAAATAAATAAATTTGTAAATTTAAATTGACTAGTAACAACACTAATGGACGGATTATAGACTAGTACATATGTATATAATTTGTTTTAACAATTTCGTTGTTCAAACGTTAAATGATTACATATGTATATATGTATGTACGCTTTAGTAAATGTTATGGATCATATTCGTGAATGAGATGAGATTTCCATGCGCATTAATCACTGATTAAGTTTGCTTTTACATAATGGTCAACAAATAAGAATTCATGTGATGAAAGAAAATTGTAAAAATTATTGATTTGGCCAAGTATGTCTCACAAAATTCACATATGTCACAGAAACTGCTACGTATCTCATGCGCATCAATGAAATACAGGAAATACTTACAGACCCAACATCTCCTGATCATTGGAAGCATAAAAATTTGTATAAAAAAATTCGGTACAAATTTAATATGTCTGATATAAAGATTATATATCAAACGAAGTAACATCATCGAAAAATCTGCAGGTTTTGTTTCTTATAATCGTAAAATGTCAAGAAGCACTATTAATTCGTAGAGTTCATCGTGTGATACAATCAATGACACTACATGCTCTCTTTCTAATAACTTGATATGCAATCCCCTCGACGAGCGTACACACCGAATTATATTCCCAAATACGCTGCGGCGCATTATTGCATTACATATTCTCAAAAAGGTATAACTTACGAGCGAATACATAAGTATCACTCGATATACATTGGCAGTTATCGCAGAAAATTCAGTCGATGATCTATTTCTTGCGTTATTTGAGCTGCGACGGAGTGCTGGATCTGTCATAAGACGGTGGAGCAGGTAGTGCTAATGACGGCGGTAAACTGGCGGTACTCGCCAAAGTAGAGTCCAATTTCCGCGCCTCATGCTCCAACAGCACCGCGTCCAACGACGGATCCTGCGCCACGGTCCTCAACGAGTCACCCAGTGCTTGTCGCAGCTGCTGCATCTCTCTGCCGGCTCGCGAGCTCCGTAAAACATACAACTGTCTGCGCTTTATCTCTTGATTCAGTTGTTCTCGTAACAGTTGTATCTGCAAGTGTATATATTGCTCTCTTACGATCTAGTTTACACAGTTTGAATGATAAAAATTTGATCAGTATGTTACACAGTATTCCAGAAAAATGAAATAACTTAAAGAAAATTGCGGAATTTTTTTATCATGTGTTTCGTTATAAGAATAACATACAGTCTGTTCAACAAGAAAGTGTGGATGATATTTTTGTAGAAAATCAGTAGTACCGTCTTCCTTATACTGTTTGAATCTTGAACTAATTTCTTTTGCACAGTGTACATCAAAAAGTTGCGTTGAGTAGTCGGTAGAAGTAAACATTATTTTTAAAAATGAGTGTAAAATATTTAAAGCGTTAGGAGACAGTGTTTCTTATTAACCATTCTAAAAGACCAAAATTAACAATCGTAGCAACTGCTAGAGCAATTAAAAAGTTAGAGGCTTCCGTAAGAAAGTGAGATATAGTAAATAGATTTAAAATCGCTGGAAATGTTAACGACCTGCCAGAAAGAGGGCTGTCTCATGCAACGACTCCGAAGCAGGACAAAGCGATCTTGTGTCTCTTTCAGACGAATCCCAGTTTTACCCTGCATTAGGCCCAAGTAAAACTCCGCCGAAAAGATCAACATATTTCACTTAATACCATCAGAAGCCGCCTGCATGAAAATGACGTGGTATCATCACATTTCGGTCCACTATGAAAAAACCGCTGCTGTCAGAAAAGCTCAAAAATGGCATAACTATGATGGATTGGTCGGCATTCTCTCCAGACGCAAATCCCATCGAAAATATGTGGTCATACCTTAAGATAAAACTTAAAGGGAAGCGTGTCTTTATTTTTAAGCAGCTGTGCATAAAAATAAAAACAATATGGCATTCTTTACCAAAATACGCCGAAAATCTGGTCGAAAATATGCAAAAATGATGCCAAGCAATAATTGATAATGGAAGCAACTGGATCAAATATTAGATAATTGCGCATTACTAAAAATCTTCTATTTTCGTTTAAAGAAAACAACTTGATTTTATCTTTTATTGTTGTTAGATTATCACCAACACTTTCTTATTGAACAAACTGTACAATAACGACAATAATACTTTCATAAAGATGGGAAACAGCTTTACTAAGAAGATACCAGTCTCAGCAGGAGTCAGACAGGGGGACAGCCTAGGTCCGGCGCTGTTCAATGTTATTATGGATGAGATTATTAAGGAAGTGAAGACGACTGGGATACAGGATAGAAAACAAAGAAATAAAGATAATCTGTCACGCGGATGATGCCGTGATAACATTCGAGGATGAAGATAATCTCCAAAGGCTCTTACACCAATTCGAATTGACAGCAAAAAATATAATATGTCTATATCAATCCCAAAAACCCAGTCGCCCGTGGTAGCCAAAGAACCGAGTAGAGACGTGCGAACTATTCGAATCCGAATAATTCGAATAGGAATCAAATATTATCGTTTGCATGCATCAGCTACAAAACGGGCCATCTGGGCCTATATGTTTGAACCCTTAACTTTTGTAATTAACTTAACTTATTTAATTTAATATTATTTAATTAATGATATTATCTTATTCCTTAATTCCTTAATTAATTATATTTAAAATTTTTCTTTAAACGAAAATTAATTATTCCTTAATTCATTATATTATCTTATCCAATACTAATTATATTAATTAATTATAATATTATTTAATTAATTAATAACTTAATTATAAATTACTTTAAATATTTAAGTATATATTATTACTTTAAATATTTAAGTATATATTTAAGTACATATATTTTACTTTAAGATGATATTACAATATCAATATTCCCTTTCATATAAAAATCTTCGATCATTATTTGCATGTTTAATAGTCATATTAAATTTTTTAATGATTCGATTCGAATTCGAATGAAATTTCATAGATTCGATTCAATTCGAATTTAAAAAATGAGATTCGATTCGATATAAAAATTTTTGATTCGCACATCTTTAGAACCGAGGCGATGCAAATTGGTAATATATGACAAGGGTGTGGAACAAACATGACTTTCAGGTATCTCTGAGCGCACATCACAAGCAACAGGAACCTGAACGAGGAAGTACAAAAGCAAGTGACCAAAGCCGCCATGATATCAGGCTACCTATTTGACTTAATATGGAGAAGTAAACACATGAGACTGAAAAGCAAGATTAGAATATACAAAACTTGCGTACTGCCGGTAATGACATACGCCATAGAAACAAGAGCAGAGACTACCGCTACTAAACGTCTCTTAAGAACAACAGAAATGAGAATCCTGAGATGTATTATCGGTAGCGCCCTGCTCGTCAGAAGATGAGCATGGAGGGACCATGTGGAGAGGATGCACGTTGATCGGCTTGCAAAGATTGCCAAAAACGGAAAAGTGAGATCCTTTAGACTTCCGGGACGACTGCCAAAGCGATGGTATGAGAGCTGGACGTCAACATGACAGAAGGAAAGGCATAGTGGATAGGATACAGGACTGAGTCCTAAAGTAAGTCGAAAAAGGAGAAGATATCATATATAACATATATAAAATACATGCCTGATTCTCCAAACGCAACACCTGCTGACGGTGGCTCTGTTCTCTCGCTTCCAGCAGTTTTTCTGCCTGCAACTGCGCGGCTCTGATTCGCTCCAACTCGCCGCTTCTGTCTCGACTACTGTCTAACAGCGAGTGCGAGTGGACGTGCGTCGATTTCACTCGTATCAGTTCGGCTTCCTTCTCCGCCAGTTGGGTCTCCAGTCTGCGTACCTTCAATCTCAGCTCTCTATTCTCATGTTCCAAGTTGTCGAGGCTGTAACTTGTACCCAGAAGCTCCACATGCGCTTTTTCAGGACGTTCGTAGCTCTTACTGCGGATGATGTTGGTCTTGGCTGAGGCGATTTGGCGCTCCAAGTTACGCTTGTCAGCTTCCAGCAGCTTCACCTTATCGCTTAGAGCATCCACCTTTCCTCTCATCTCGCTTCTCTCCCTCTGAGCAGTTTGCAACTGGCGCAGCAGCTCTTCATCTTTACTCACGCTGCCTTCTTGCGGCCAGCTGGATAACCTTAACTGCGACTCCAAAGCTGATCGTTGTACTTCGTTGTTCGCCAACTCGTTCTGCAATCGGGCGTTCTGATCAGTCAACGATTGGTTCGTGTGTCTCAAGTCGCTCAGGGTTTGTTGAGCGGTCTCCAAACGCTCGGATAATACTCTGCGATCGTTCTCCGTGTTCGAGAGTTGTTTCTGCAGCTGCTTCAGCCTTTCGTTGTTGTTCTGCGAGGAAGTGGTGATTTCCATGATATTACGTTGCAGTAGATTGATCTCACCCTTAAGTTCGCTTTCCGTCGCCGACGCTTTCTCCAATGCCAGATTCAGTTGCTCTATGGTGGATTTCAAGGACACGCAGCGCTCTTCCAAACTCGCCATGGTGCGGCTTTGTGCATCCGTGCGATCCTGCAGTTTCTGGACTTGCACGTCTTTCTCCTGCAGCATCATCTGCAACCTCTGGAGATCCCCCTCCATGGACATTCTCTGTAACTCCAATTTGGTCGCGCGGGACTCGCTGCGGCCAACCTCTTCCTGAAGAGCGCGTTTTTCCGTTTCCAATCTGCTTAACGCTTGTTTCATCTTTTCTAGCTTGTCCTCATACTGAGATTTCTCTTCTGTTTCCGTGCTGATCTTTAATTCGAGAGTTGTAAGTTTCTCATATAACTGTTCACATTCTTCTGTTTTCTGTTGGAGCACTTCGAGTTGGGCTTGATAACCGGTTTGCTTCTGAGTCAGTTTCGCCTCCAAGGAGTTCTTCTCCTCCTGGAGCGTACGGATGTTAGCCAGAAGACTGTTCACTTTAATGTCTGTGTTGCTTTGATTCTCCTGCGATTCCGTCAGTTGCTTTTTCATGCTGCATAATTCCGTCTTATAGTCATCCCTCTCACGCTCGATCTGGGCGACTTGCTGCATCAGCGACCGTACGCCTTTCCTGACGGCTTCAGGATCAACGTCCACTATGACATCCCTGCTGGTGTCACCATGATCCTGCGCGCGTGCCGGGCTCCATCGCCGCGAAGGACTCATCAGCTTGAACGGCATGTTCACACTCCCATCCATCTGAATGCCAGCGATACGACGCAACGTGGAGCCCACGCTGCTCAACTTCTGCTCCACCTCCTTCTTCGAGCTTTCCAACTGCGACAATTGAGCGTCGAGAGCTCTTACTCTGCCTTCGGACCCGCCAAGACGTGCCTTCAGCTCTTGTAGTTGCTGCGTCGCGTCGGCTAGACATACTTCCAGATTGTGCTTTTGATCTTCCAGCTTCCTCTCGCGACAACGGCTATCTTCGAGGCGCACCAACAACTCTTGTTCACGGGCGTGCCACCTCTCGTCTTCCTCGTCTGCTCGTGTGCGCAATCGTCCCAGTTCTTGCCGTGTGACCTCCAAACTGTTGTCCAAGTCAACCACCTGTTTCTTCACTTGATGCAGCTGCAGCTGTATTCGCTCCCTTTCCTCGGTCTCGTTGGCCAATCTCGATTGCAACTCTTTTTCCTCGTTTTGAGCCTGAGCGTTGTTCTCGTGGCACTTCTGCAATTCATCCTGCGTGAAGCGAAGTTGTTGCTGCAACTGCAGCGCGTCGCGTTCCATGTCGCGCACTTGCGTCTGCAGACGCGTCCTCTCGACGTCCATGTTTGTTCTCGCGTCCTCCAGCGCCGATATCTTCTGGTATAGTTCCTCCAACGTTCTCCCCTGTTCTCTTTTTTCGCTCTCGATTCGTTTCACGTGTTCCCGCAACTCCTTATTGCTGTTGTTGTATTTCTCCTTTTCATACGTGGTGTCTGCCAATTGCCTTCTTATATCCACCAGCTCCTTACGTAGCGTTTCGTTGATATTATCGGCGTCTTTCAGTTTTCTGATGGTGTCGTGCAACTGATTTTGCAGTCCATCTACTTTATCCTCCGCCATGTGCAACTGAACTTGCAGCTCTTCGGCTTCTCTCTGTATGGATTCGCGCTCTTTCCAAAGCTCCTCTATCTTCAGATCGAGTTTCATCTTCTCCTCATCTGCTCTCAACTTCGTCTCGTCTAATTTCGTCCTGAGGCGATTTAACTCGTCACGCAGTTGATTTGTATTATTACGTTCTTGCTCGGCACGCGACGCGGCATCCCTTTTAACACGATCCAAGTTGCTCTTCTCTTCCTCTAATTCACGTATGATAGTTTCCAGTTTTTCTAGCAAAGCCTGCTGATCATGATGAGCTGGAACAGATTAAAATATAACTGATATCTGTTGCAGGGATTATACTTGATATCTGTTACAGATGTTAGTCTTACGAAAGTTAATAAAGAACGTTCACGTACCTATAAGGAGCGCTTGTTGCTTATCATTTTCGGCTCTAAGGAGCACTTCTTCGTGTTGTTTGCATAAATTCTCTATGTGTTGTTGCAACTCCTCGATTCTCTGTTGCAACTGATTAATCTCTTCGTTCTTCTCTCCCTCGAGTTGCAACAAAGACTGCTGCAGACGTTTTTCCAAGCTCATCCTTACTTGTTCCTTGTGAAGATAAGAGTGACAAATTGAGAATAGAAATGTGTTCAAAAGCAGTTCTAGAATAATGATTTCTATAGAGGATTATATAAAGAAATACCTTTTCGTCGTTCACTTTTTTGATATTGTCTTCAGATTGCTTCTTCATATTGGATATAATTTGTTGAAATTCTGCAACCTGATCGCCACTCTGTTGCGTGAGCGATTGTTTGATATCCTGCGCACGTTTCTCGCTGTTTTCTAATTCTTTCGTTAATCGTGCGATTTGTCCCTTCAAACTTTCCTGTTTTATCAACAACTCCTTTTGTTCTTTCTCCAATTGCGTCTTCCTCACGTGTGTAGCTTCCAAGTTGGTTTGGGTGTCAAACAATACCCCTTCTAATGTTTCCTTCTCGGTGCGCATTGATGCAAGTTGCTCCTGCAACCTTTGAAATTCCTTCTCATTTGTCTCCAGAAGCACCTGTAAAGATGAAACAGATGATCGTCTTTCACGACATTAATACATACTAGCGGAGAAACATACGGTAAAATAATATTCAATATATATATAAATAATTGCCCTTGCCTGTTTTTCCTCGTTATCTTTCACGAGATCCTCCAAATTTCTATTTATTCGCGCATTCATCTCGTTGGATTGTTCTAGTCTTTGCCTAATTCTCATAAGCTCTTCATTTAACGTTTCCTTTTTTCGCGCCAAAACTGACAATTGATTACTCAAATCCCCACGTTCGCGGGTCACTTGACCCAGCTCTATCTCGACCTTTTCTTTTTCTATCTCGAGAAATTTAATCTTTTCGTTCAATGTGACTTTCTCAGATTCTATATCAAGCCGAGTTTGCTCTGCTTGTAGCAACTCTTTTCTCAATGAATTCAAATCGCCCTGTTGGTCGATACACTGACTCGCGAGCTTATTTTTTTCGTCTGTCATCTACAGCAAATATCTATAATTAGTATCAAATGTTCATTATCGCATGGATAATGCAAGACGTTACCTTTTTTAATTCTTCTTGCAATCTTTGCTTATCCTGCTCGTGATTAGAGCACATTGTTTCTATTTTTATCAGAATTTCCTGTACGTCCGACTTTTCGAGCAATATCCGCTCCAGTTCCAATTCAAGATCACCTAAATTATTTACATGACATTAATGACGCTTCTATTTATGATCTATAAGTTACAATACCTTTGCTTTTTTCTATCTGAGAAATTAATCCGTCAGTTTCCAATTTTTGCTGTTCCAACATATCCTTGGCAAGATAAGCCTTACTTAAATCTTCTCGCAATGTCAGTAGTTCCTCTCTCATTTTACTGCATCTATCTTCCTCTGACCGTAAACTTAATTCCCTGGAGATATCATTTTGCAAACAATACTTATTGTGCAAGAGGAGAAAGAGAGAATAGATCGTCGTTAGTTTGTTTACCTTAAGTCAGCATCCTTTGATACTCTACTAAGCTCATTTTGCAGATACAATTTCTCATCTTCCAAACTGTCGCACATTTTCTGCAATTTATTGTTTGTCTTCTGAAGTTTATCATAATCGTTATTAAGGGCTTCTACCTATAACATAAACATGTATTGTCGCCATCATATTCACTGTTAGAATAATCAAAACAGTATATTGATGTTTTAAGGCTCGATTACACCAATGTTAGTTTGGCTTTAAGCGAGATTTGAACATGCATGTCTTTATTTATTTAAAAAGAAAGATAAAGAAATAGACGCACGTTCAAGTGTCGCTTAAAATCAAAATAATGTTGGTGCAACCGAGCTTAAGTCTTACCATACTATTAAGTTCCACCCTATTTTTATCCAACGCGTTCTTCTCCAATCTTATTGTGTCAAGACCCTTCTGCAACATTTCTTTCTCTTGATTCAGCTGAGTACATTGCGAACGACATGTATCCAATTGAGAGATCAGCTCTGCAACTTTTACGTTTAGAGATTTAGCGTTCTCCTCCGCCGTGTCGCACTGTTTGCGCATTGCTAAAAGCTGCTCCTTGTTCATTTGCAGTTTTACCTAATGCGAAAAAACTCGTAAATAACCAATTCACCGATCTTTCTTTTGATAGGATATATAGTGAATGTATGTTTACTTGTAACTCGTGTATAGTCAATTGATACTTGTGCAGAGCTGCTTGTACCGCGCTTATGGTACTTTCAGCAAATGCAGGTATGGTACTACTTCTTGCACCTCTCTTCGGCGATCTCTGCGGGATTGGCCCACTAGGTGATAGGTGAATGTGTGGAGGTGCCTGTTTGGCATCGATATCCCGAGATTCGGCATCCTGAATCACGGCATGCGCTATATCTCTTAATGCTGTTTGCAGAACTTCGATGTCTTCCTGCATTCGCGCAGTTTGGGTCACTGCTGCTTCCGAAACACCGCATCTTTCTTCCTGTATATATCAAAATTGATACTACCATATAGGTTTAGCCAAGATTAGGACATGAAGTAAAAGCGATATTTACTAAATTATGGATTTCTCGAATGAGTTGATTTATTCGGTCTTCCTTCGTACGAATTTCATGTTGAGCAGTATCATATTGTTGTTTAAGTGCCGCAATTTCTATTTTCAAATCAGACGTAGTTTGTCCTTCTTCTTGTTGTTGTATCTTCTGATACGGCTGAAAATAAAAGAGAGCAAACATGATATAAAAGAATATCATTAAAAGCAGAAATAAATTGAGTTCAATGTACTGACAGTTTGTAATTATGTAATAATTTACCATAGGTTGCATTGTATTTGCTTGCAGTTTTATGGCAAAGCTTGTAGTATTGCATGCCGATGTAATCTCATTAGATGATGTGATGATTTTATTGCGTAGTTTAGACAAGTCTCTTTCAGTAGCAGATTTCATTTCCGCAAACAATCTTTTAACAGACACAACATCACGCCAAAGATTCAGTAGTCTGTTATGCTCAGAAGTGTAATATTCGTTGAATGCCTGTTCTTCTTCTTTCCACTCATCCTCCTTAATTGCCAATTCCTCGCGCAATATATCCCAGTCGTTGCTTAGTTTTTGCAGGTCATTAGTTAACGTCTCGTTCGTTTGGTGAGATTCTTCTAGCTGGTCTTTCAAGGATGCATTCAACTGCAAAAGCTTTTCACACCTGCAATAGAAAAAAATGTATTTCCACTACAGCACATCTTTCACACTTATTGATCAATAATTGTTATTAATTAAAAGATATTCAATGTCAATTTAAATTGTATTTCTACATACTTTCGCTGTTCTTCTCCAAGTTTTTTTAAAGCAGTATCCAAGTCATGAATTTGTTCCTCACGTAAGTCCCGGAGTGTCTGATGGGCAGCATCTAACACAGAAGTAGAAGATACAGTAGCAGCTGTTAATTTGCTAGTAGTGTCACACGGAATAGTTTCTGCCATTTGATTTTCCAGTTCTGAACATCTCTGTTTATATTGCAAAACCTACAAAATCACTCAATTACTACTTGTTTTATTACAGGTACCTGCAGCTTATACTAATATATGTGATGAGAAATATTCATAATGTTTACTTTAGCTTGTAAACGTGAAACAAGAGCTGCTTGATGTTGCTGGGCCTGTCGATATGTGTCCAAACGTCTTTTGTAACTTGCAGCCTCTTCTTCCAACCGGTGACGGAGTTCATAATTTTGTCTAACCAATGCATCAGGTGATAGATCTTCATCACTGCCTTGCTCCTCTATAACACCCCCACTGCGTGCAGAATCCATCTTAGTTCCGCTACCTCGTTCTGTCTACAAAAATGCATAATTTTCTTGAAATATAATTAATTTCTTTTTTACATTATGACTGTGCACGTCATTGTTGCACAATCATGTACTTAAACAATTATTCTACCTTCTAAGTCTAAGGTACTGCCAAATTTCATTTTTCTAATTCAATGTTTTAGGACAACCTCTCACATATGAAGTTGTAAGTAAAAAGTACAAGTGATATATAGTTCTTACCAAGAAATCATTTTTACGTTATAGTAATGCTTTCATCGTCTACTTCTAAATCGCTAGTCATGTTTCATATCATTGATATGATTCCATATATTCTCTGCATATGTATATAATTCATATTACAGTATTACTTTAGAAATATACATAATGGTATGTATAAATATCATATTGATATAGAATGCAAATATACGACAAGTGTAGAGGAAGATCGTTAATATCGTTAAGAACACGTTGCGCATTTTTAATTTGGTTAGGTTTCTGTTTATTGTTTATCGCCAGTTGCTATGACATCGATGAACGTAGTAATGTACGATTTGTTCCGTGAATATATATGGTCTGTTCTTTTTAGCTGCACTACTGAACTGGTGCAATAAGTTAAAGTGAGAAAAAATATAGTTGTCTCATTCTAACTTATTGCACTAGTTCCGTAGTGCAGCTGAAAAGAACAGACCATAGGTCTGTCAGCTGTGTACCAAGCTGGTAAGTACCAAAAGTGTAACATAGTACATTTGGGAGGAACAAACCATTGCATTATGGGACGTATCTTTGAATATTATGTACGAGGCAACTTTGATAATTGGATAATTGTGGTAAGTATTAATAATAAATAACGAACTTAATAAAATTATCAGGTAACTTGTATAAAGAGAGCGGCTAATCAACGAGCCATGAACAATGTTGATAGTTCATTAAATAAAATAAAGGAACGGAATATTACAAGCCTTATAAGCTTGTTAGTTAACCTTATTAGTTAATCTTGTTGGTTCTAATCTTGATTGTTCTAACCTTGCCTTTTCAATAACAAATCACTTATTTCTAATCTGCTATCTAAAATAGCAATATATATTACGATAGTACATAAACGAACGTATATAATGAAATTAAATTTTCATTTAATATCGTTTGCGATTCTGTAAATATCCAAATAATAAAATACATAAGCATATATTAAGTACGTTAAACATTTAAAGTTAATCGTATTTAATATAAAATTTATAGACCCATATTCAAAACGTGCTTATAACTATGTTAGTGCGCTGTTAACCAATCAGAAGGCATATTACGTGGCTTTTCATTGGTTTCATTGGTTAATAGCGCGCTAACATAGTTATAAGCACGTTCTGAATATGGGCCATAGTATTCATTCATATATATTTTCATAATTATTACATATGTTTTATAATTTTTTTTCACAGAAACGGACAATAATTTTTCGAGATTTGCTTTCTGATCTCATCAGTCCATTCTCTCTCTTTTTCCTTTTTCGAAAAATTACAAGTAAGCGTCATTGCTTTCTATTCAAGTGTTTCAACACACAGAATGTATAAGATCGATTGTAATTTCTTTGATCTGCAAATTTCTTAGCTAATTTGGAATTATATTATTTTCAAATATTGTGATCTTTCAAACGTAATTAGGCGATTGAAATTTTGAGATTTACATTTTAAGATTTACATTTCGTTAATCTTCTCTGTACTATCATAGTTATTCTATATAATCTTAATCTATATCTTAATCTATATCTTAATCTTAATCTATATAACTTACAATTATAACAATAATTGTTTCTTACCTCCTTGGCTTTGCTGGAAGCTCTGAGAAACGGTGGCCGCCGCCTTTCCATCTGTCCTCGTGCCGATAATTGCAGAGTTCCTTTAGAAACTGGCTGCAACGCATATGTAATCCCCATTTAAATTTAACGTATATAACATTTTAAGAGATTTTAAGAGATTGACGCAAAAACAGGAGTCAAACATATCAACAATCGTGATATTTGCACGTAAAGTTGCTGTATTTTTAATAACGCTTCAAAAATGGAGTTGAATATAATTTTTTCCCGAAGTCGCACTTAATTTTTTTTATTATCAAATAACTTTTTCAGTCATGAATTCTATCTTTGCAGAAATATTACTTTAGGATTCGGCGTATTTTTACGCAGTATCTCTCTGTATTATATTATATAATACAATTAATTGTCTTGTCCAATTTCCAACGAGTCACCATCGTGCTAATAAGCACAATTATTTACAGGGATAATAATCTGTTTTTGTTGAAAATAATTTACGAACAAAGATTAAAACCCATTAAACGGTAAAGAGATTTTAAAAGATTAACACAAAAACAGGAGTCAAACATATCAACAATCGTGATATTTGTACGCAAAGTTGCTTTTGGATTTTTAATAACGTTCCAAAAATGGAGTTAAATATAATTTTTTCTTGAAGTCGAACTTAATTTTTTCATTATCAAATAACTTTTTTAGTCATGAATTCTATCTTTGCAGAAATATTACTTTAAGATTTGGTGTATTTTTACGCAGTATCTCTCTGTATTATATTATATGCACAATTAATTGTCTTGTCCAATTTCCAAAGAGTCACCATCGTGTTAATAAGCACGAATTATTTACAGGGACAATAATCTGTTTTTGTCGGAAATAATTTACGAGCAGAGATTAAAACCCATTAAGCGGTAAAACAACCACGACGTTACTAATCTATATTAAGCGCGCGCGCGCTCGGCTTTTTCTTTCTTTCGTAGATCTTTATCGTCGTAATAGCTGAACTCGTGGCCCCCGATGAGCGTTTCAACATGTTCGACAGTTACGATAGGTCAGCGTATTCGTTAATTATGGCATGAGGACTCTTCGACATCTCTGTATGTAACACTAAAATATCGCCGCTATCATCGCCGTCGCGCGAAGACAAAACAAATTCGCGTAATAGGATTCTAAACACGCTCGCGGTGTTTTGTCTCGCGTCACGCATGATCTGTTAATAATCTGTAAAATAAAAACATCAATTAACGATTGTAATCGCGCGCGACGCGACGTCAAGGATTCACGGGAGTAGAAACTTCTTAACGCGGTGATAATCGATCCGCGATTAATGCGAGCAAATTCACGTTGCCGAATCACGTGGAAAGCTGATATAATTACGGGCGAATGAAACATTCGGTCATTACCACAGAGCGTTATCATCGGCAAGCGGCACCGGTGTATCTCCAACCGCTTATAGAGTCCAAACTTATAGAGTCTTATCAGCAAGCGCGGTTTAAACTCGCGCGAGCTACGAATTACAAGTCGTGCAGTCGTACCGATTTTGCTGTTAAATAATTAGCCGTGCTGGCGACTGTTGTTTATCGAGGAACGATAAGCGCAATCGTCACAATGCTCCTCGCGAGGGAAGAAAAACACATCGTCTTCTTTCTCTTTCATTGCGTCTTTCGAAAAAAGTGTATATGGACGGGTTATCATAATTAAATTATGACTATGTGCTGATGTGCGCAGGATCTCGCCGGTAAACATACATATACATGTACCGTGCATAATCGGCCGCCATTATTACTTCTTCATCTTGACCGTATCGTTTTCAGGGTGCAAACATCGCGAGATAATATCCCTCGCGGATAATAAACGTAATAAGATGAGAAAAATGTTCGCGCTCCTCGTTCGCGACGAATGTCTCGCATGAGACAAGAAGGAAATTGTTAATGGCAAATCAATACGATTCTCAAATCAAACAGCTTGATTTCATCGTCTCGCGACGATTGGTAGCAAAATGGATCATGCGCCATTTAATGTTCGCGTTAATGTAACGATGCGTTACATTATGATAACGTGTGATAATTCGATGAAATACGTTCATCGCTCCGGCAAAGATCGCTAATTATTCGCTCGAATGTTGCGCGTATCGAAGCGTTGAAATCGCCGGCTCGCACCTGCGGTTCACCTCGTGACGACTGTTAGTCCAGCTGCGGGATTCTCATGGGTCGACTTCGGTAACTGCACGCAATCGGTCGCGAGAATGAACGGTCGCCACGGTTCAATCGCGTCGTAAATCTCGCAATGATGCGTCTATGCAAATTATATTCCTTTATCGTATCTTTAAAACTTTTTCGATACGGTGGGTTTTTATGACACAAGTTAGCCAACGCATCGAAAACGCGAGAGCACTTCCCACTCAGCGGGCAATATTTTTTAACGTTTTTCAAATATTTATTTTATATTCTTTTTTATGGTTTCTTCTATTCATTGTACAAAAAATATTTGTTTAACGTTTATTCAACATTTATTTAACGTTTATTTTATATTAATTTTTTATTTAAAATAATGATGAAGAAAAAATATTTATTTAACGATTATTTAATATTTATTTTACATTAATAATATGTTTAAAATTATTTTTTCCGTTTCAAAAATGTCTTTTAAATGTTTTTTAAATATTTTTTTTCTGATTAGGTTATGTCTGTGAAGCATTTTCATGTGTTTCATCTTCTGATGAAACAATATAGAAATTGTTGCTGGAAAAAGATGAGAGATCATTTTGAGACGTAAATCACTATTAACAATAAAATAAAAAAGTGAATGCTGAGCGGCTGTCGATTATAGTTGACGCTTGTATCGAAAGAGTTAATGATTCGATCAGCAATCACATTTTCATACAATCGATGAAAATTTGTTATTATCTACATGGGAAGTACACATAAAACTTTAAACGTGTTTATCTGGAAACACCATTTTTTTAAACTGTCGACTCGATTACGCGAAAACTATTGAACCGAATAACTTGAAATTTTTACACAATATATAGTAGACATGTAATTTTCGCTCCTCGAACACAGTTATATTTTATTTTACTCATTTTTTTAAACATGATTACAAGTTGAGAAAAGTTTCATTTTTGATACTTTTTTTTTCATAGTCATTATTTTTTCAAACTTGGCTTCACTGCCTTCATTTTAGTACGAGCTATAATGGCAATCGTATATTTTAAAAATCTTTCTCAGTTTTTGGTTTCAGAGTAATGAGAGGCTTGGAATTACGTCGACAGCCAACATAGAACTCGCAAATGGATGACTGTATTTTTATCTGTAATTACAAATTAAATTGTTCTTGTGATTCAATAAAATTTATTTTATGCTTTGAATATTAATGATACATTAATGCACTGTAAAAATTTCAAGTCCATTGATCCTACCGTTTCTGTTAAAAAAATTCGTAAAAGTAGTTTTGAAAACGGCCTGCTCCGCATGTAATTCCCACGTCAACAAAATTTTATTTTAGGACTTGGTTACAAAGATATGCTAAAAATTGAAAAATGAATAACGATTTTCTTCGATTTTAGATGAAGAGCAATTGCCCTCAATTTGCTTAGAAAACTTCTGGGTAAAATTAAAGTAAAGTGAGAAGAAATATTCTGTATGTATATATAATCAAGTAAATTGCTAAATAACAGTGCATTAGTATATTATTATATTTTAATAAAAATTTAATTAAACAAATATAA